CAAGCGTATTTTTAACTTTAATTCTTCTCCCGAGTCTCTTGGTGGGCGAAGTTTTACATTTGTAGGGCGATATCTCGTAAACTAATGAAGTTAAAAGGGTGAAGCTTGATATATATACCCCTAATGAGTATCTGATTAGTACCACATCAAGCAAGCGTAATTAGCGGGCTCCCGCCCCCTCCATTCCGCGGACTTTTGGACCTCCCCTCGTACCACCACCGAAGAGGAACCTGCCACCACCGAAGAGGAACCTACCACCACCGAAGAATCTTAATTTTAGAATATTGATGATTGTTTCTTGAACTGCAAGATTCTTACCTTTTATTAATATAACCTTAATCTAACCTAACTGTTTACAAATAAAAAGCTAATACCTTTTCTCTCATATTCACTCATACATGTACATACGTAGGAAGTACACATATTTTATAATTCAAAAAAGAAATAAACAATTTAATACATTAATTAATTTTCATTTAATTTTAATAGGGTAATGAAATTATTTAAAAAATACTTTGACACGTAGACACTTTTGATGTGTAGAATATGCACACACAAAAACATGTTCACTCATCCACTCATACGCATGTAAACTTTATTTCTTTGGCACAATTTTATAAACATAAATTATGTAACGCGACGCAAACGACCGCTTCATAAAAAAAATACTATTAATTTAACTGCCTCCGTGGCCGGACCATGCTGGACTGCCATGCAGGGCTTTTGGGTGTAATTTGTTATTGTCTATGCTGTATCCATGGCACCCGGGTTACAGGGTTTCTATAAAGAAAGTGAGTGCGTCATTGTCATTATTTACGTTAGAGAGTCTCCTGCAGACCATATTTTACAAACCCAAAAGGACTTATTCTACTGTCAATATACGTTCTTGAACCTGCTGTGTTCGTAAAAAAAAACACATTTTTATATCTTGCACCCTATATAAAGATGCATAGGAATATCCCTTACAGTAGTAAGGGCTATTTCTATACAAAGGTGTTGTACGCATATAATATTATAATAATAAAATATCAGACGTATTAAAAACTGATGACAAATTTGCAGCATTTAAAAGCAAATTGAACTTATTACTGACTCCCAAAACTGACTACTCAATAAATGAGTTTTTGTCAGATAGACAGATGGAATAAAGATAAATGTTCTATCACTCGTCACATAACTTCTAATATAATATTTAATAATTTAAAAGAAAATATAATATTATGATAGATATTATGCATTTTTTTTAAATTTATTAGGTAGTATAATTTTGTCAAATAATAAATGTAGAAAAGCTGGATCTATGTATCAAAAATGGATTACCTGAACCCCGATATGTAAACTAGATAAAAATTAAAGCAAATATAAAATATTTTTGATTTCTTATGAAACAACGTCATCAACCCGTTCAATACGTCCCACTACTATGCATGGGTCTCCTCTCAGGCGAGGGTTTAGGCTATAATTCGCCACACTGAGCCAACACGGGTTGGGAACTTTAAGTTTTCCGAGAGTGGTAGACCTTCTTCGACGACGTTTCACGATTTTTTAAAGTAACTTCTATGAAAATAGAGAACAGAAGGGAAAAAATGTTTGAGCATTTGTTACGTAAAGACAAATTCATACAGGTAAATTAAATAAAGAGGGAGGTAGAAGGAAAGAGAAGGGGAGAAAGACCGAGCAAGTGAGTACAGTTGATGAGAGTCTATGATACTGAACAACTATGGCTTTTTAGCTGATTAGTAGCAGCAGAGCATGTCAAAGAGTACGTCCAGGAAAGAGCTGCCACCTCACCTATTTCTACCAAATAGTACCTACTGTGAGCAATAATAATATAATAATAATAATTTTTATTCCAATGAAACATACAGCACTTACTAGGCTAATTTACAAATTACAAATTGGTTGTATAAGCAAACAGAAAGAAAGAAAGAATTAAACCATCATAACCTATTCTAGGTACGAGTCCTTAGCGTTAACAGAATTATGAAGATTCCCCGTTATGGCAAAATTAATTAACCGATCAATCTGATTGCAGCTAAAACGAAAGTAGTGTATTGCCGTGACATGTGGGTAGGGAATGAAATGTACGATACGAATATGTGCATTTGCGCTAAAATAAGTGAGCATATATGTGTGTGTGTGTGTGTGTGTGTGTGTGTGTGTGTGTGTGTGTGTGT